ATTGATTATGTTGGAAAAATAGATGTGAAATCTGACCACATCGAAGATCAAACAGCAGTCTGGAACGGAATGAATTTTAAAGCGTGACCGCTACCTGATGCCTCCGGTTTACAACAAATTTGACTGTGTGTGTCCAAACAAATAGCATGCTGCATATCATCAGCCATAAAGCATAATTGCCAAAATCATTTTCAATACTTCTGCACCTCTTCAATGGATTCATTCGAATCATTCTATATTGATTATGTTGGAAAAATAGATGTGAAATCTGACCACATCGAAGATCAAACAGCAGTCTGGAACGGAATGAATTTTAAAGCGTGACCGCTACCTTATACCTCCGGTTTACAGCAAATTTGACTGTATGTGTCCAAGCAAATAGCATGCTGCATATCATCAGCCATAATAATTGCCAAAGTCATTTTCAATACTTCTGCGGGACAAGAAAAAATAAAATGCATTTTTTAGAACACACATTGCTATTTAGAATTCGTATTGTACAAAATAACAAAAAACTTCAACCAAATCAGTGCAAAAGTAAGCGAGAGGAAAAATTCAAATTAAAAAATACTGCATGTTCGAAAAATTGTGGGGGTTTTTTCTCGTTTTTCAAAAATGACTTCACCAATTATGCCACTGTATGTGGCCGACGAGATATGCTACAGACATCGAAGGTATGGAAAAAATGTTCAGTTCCTTACCCAGACGTTTCCATCCTGTTGATAGGGCCTCCAGTTGGACTGTGTGTCACTATAAAGTAGCTGATACTTGCCGGTCCAGTCGGAGCTACCGTAGCGGCCCTGGGTCGCTATGGCAACAAGCTGTTTTCTGGCACCCAGATCAACCTGCAACCATCTGTAACGGTCTGAGTCCGAAGGTGACCAGCCTCCGGCGCCTGGGTTTGTCAGTGTCACAAAGACAGATAATGTGGACCGTGGAACAGAAGCAATAAGGCAAAATTAATTGCAGGCAATAGCAAACTTTGCTAATATCGATCATCATTTCTCAAGATTAACACACACTTGAAAATGATCAGCAACCTGAAAATAACCCTTCAGAAGCTGATTTTACTTGGTACTAGTGAATACTATGCTCCCCATGATTTACTGGTCTTTTCTAGCTTTGTAGTGCTGTGGTTGATGAATAAATGAACTTGGATAAGTCGGCTACAAAAATTAGTCACAAAGAATCTCTGCCTTGAAGATGCGCACTTTTTTTCTTTGCCATCTTCCACGCATTTTCATTTTATCTAATCGCACCCTCTGCTGGTGGGAAGTTGTTTTTTTTTTAACTTTAGTGAAGCTTTGGGGACTGGGAATCAGCCTACTGTCTTGAGATTTGCGCTACAATTCAGACACAAGATTAGTCGCAAGTAACGACTATTGCAAGTTACGATGCGGTATCCATGGTATCGATGCTCAAAAATGGCATTGTAAATTTATTTTATTAGTTTACTGTTGTTGATGCATACATGGCAATGGCGAGTGATGAAAAAAGCGGAAGGGGCGTGGCCTGGACGGGGCGTGGCCTGGACGGGGGCGTGGTTACTTACAAAAGTGGCACTAAACATGCTGAAGATGAAGTGTATTAAATTTACACAGTTTGAAAATTGAACAGAAAAAAATCCCAAGATCGCCACTATTCTTTCAAGTGAAAATTTGTGCAATTTTGCCTATGCATTCCTGGTGAGCACCAATATGTAACTCCAAATTTGCTGCTCAAAATCAAAACTAAAAA